CCAAGACTGCTTTAAGAGGGTTAGGCCTACCCTAAAATTAAGGAACGTTCGACCTCGACACGTGATATGGAAATGGGCTAAATCGCCTCTTGATATCACTAACTATCTTGAATCTTGAATCACGTCCCCTCTAGACATCCTCCTGTGGGCAACCCTGGTGCCAATACGGCTGCTTACACTGCGACATGTTCTCCGCGTGATCCTTGTATATTGGATTGAACACCTGGTTATTCTGCGACTTGTATCGCAGAATTTCATGATTCATCGATGGAGGATGTGAGATTCTACGTGACGGATGAGGGAAAGAGTTCTACAATCGCATTCAGCGTCCCTGCAACAGATGACAATCACGGGAAGGGACTGAAGCCTAGTGACGGGGCAAAGTCTCCTCCCCTCACTCCCGTCACTGAAGATCCCTCGCACAGAGGTGAGGGCAAGCAAAGTAATTTTTGCATTCTTACCATGGAAGCCCTTGGGTTCGATAATATTTTCAGTTTCTAAACTTAGAGCATGGGTCGTGCTCCAGCAGAAGTGAATATTCACGTGGAAGTAGCTTCCATATGGTTTAAACAGACTTTTAAGAAAGACTAGACATACAGAAAGTGTGCACTGAAGGTAAAAGATGGCAGAAAGAGCCGTCTACTTGAAAGATTGTGTGTCCAAACGTTAGAATCAATCTCCTTGCCCTTTGGGACAAGTCAAATATGAAGAATATGTAGGAATATAAGGAAAAAAAAAGTATTCGGACAGCTCCCTTAGGCCTTTGCGTGTATCGTTCGTAATTGTTGTAACGATATTTTATTTCAAGTTCCGTGGCAGTGATTAAGGTATAAACATTGAAGGACATACAGATTAAGCCAGAGCAAACTGATACTAATTAATTGCATGTAAAATTGATATATTATTTTTGTTGCAGATATCCAATATACTGTCATAAAGTGCAAGTGTGACAGATCTTAAATTCATAAGCCAAAATATTTCACTTTACTCAGTACACAATTATTTCTCGAAAATGATATCACACAGATGGTCTCCAATCTGAGCTTCATATTGTCTTGCTCGCAAAAGGGTGTCCATCATAACTTTGTGGGTGGTTTCCATGTCACTATTCTGTATGGCCTCCCTGATGGTGTCTTTGAGTGGATCCAGGTTGGAAGGCTTGTTTTGGGTATGCAGTTGACTTCAAAGTTCCCCACAAAAAAGTCAGAGGGTGTCTAAGCAGGGCTTTGGCAGGGCCTTGGCCAATGAATGTCCCCAAACTGGGACATAAAGTGATTGGGAAGCAACTGCCTCAGTATCTCCAAAGAAACACATGTGGATTATGATGATCCAGGATGACCTTAGACCCAAATTGACTGAAATGGGATATCTTAGTGGTAAAACCTGATTTCAGCAGGTTTCTATGCCAACAAACTGAAGGAATCTTGATAGTGAACTCATTAGGAAGGCCAACATTCTAGGCACTATAGCTCTTCCTCTTCAAACTACTGGTTGATGCTCTTCCAGCTGACTAGCCCTTTTTTTAAGCTGAAGCAAGTGTGTTCTGAGTATGAATTAGTGCAAAATGCAAGTATTTCATTCCATTTCAGGTCATGCTGCTGACAAAGGGGAAAATAAGGAAAGTCATGGTGCACCAAAGGAACTTTTAAGGTTGAGTAAGAGGGACTCACCACCAAGCAGCAGTCGAGTGCGCTCAGCATCCACTGGACGTGGCAAAAATGATGGTTTGTTCAATCATTCTGAATCTACTCCATTGTTTAGCATTATCCAGAAAGTATGATGTTTCTCACATGATGACCATTGAAACTTGCAGACCTAAGAGCTAGATACTGGGCATTATTGTTTGAGAACTTGCGGCGGGCAGTGGATGAGATCTACCAGACTTGTGAGAAGGATGAAAGCATTTTGGAATGTAAGGAGACCATCTTGATGCTGGAGAATTATACACGGGATTTCCACAGCTTGATTGACTGGTTAAAGCTCAAGTGGGAGTATGAGAACACCCCACCTCGTCAAAGACCTACTTCGTTTGCCTGGGAGATTCGAAAGACCACCTCCAACAAATACAGGGTAATGCATGTCATTCAACAATTCATTTGCTGCAGGACTTGAAATGTAATTTCTTGTTTCTTTTACCACTTGAATTGTGAGACCGTCCAGATTTTCCCTCTGCATGTGTTACAATAATTCAGCATTTAAAAGGATTTCCAATAGGAAATAAAGCATTAATTAGATTCTGCCTTATTAAATAGTAGTGCTGAATCATTTTTACTTGGCTTGACCCTTGATAATTAGGCAAATTTGGAGGACTTGCCTATAGAGAAGAGAAATTTTGTCCCCATGACAGTTCAATACAGGTCATTAAAGGGAGTTTTGGTTTTACTATGATTACATGGTTCAGCCATAGTAGTATGGACTGAAGGAATTTTTGTTTTTAAAGGTCCTTTTTCCTAAATAATGATTTTAAAATTGTGCTAGCCATAGACTCCTAATAAATTAGATAAGGAATCTTCACTAATAGCATTATTGGAGAGAGGAATATGTTGCAAGTTGTACAAGCTTTAATTATTAGGATCCATAAAATTCATGCCAGAAGTATTTAAGAATTGGAATACTTGCAACTGCAAATATCCACATCTATTCTTTCTTCAGAACCTGGTGATATTCCCCTTTAAAAAAAAAGCAAAATAAAAGCTGTGAGACTTCATTTTCATTTCTCTTTAGGAGCAGTTATATATATATATAGAGGTAGTACTTAATGCCCCAGAAGCAATCCTGGCTTAAATCCATCTGCCAGTTAAGCCGGGATTGCTTCTGGGGCATTAAGTACTACCTCTACTATTTACATCTACAGCCGTAGCACCTGACGGCAGAAACTCCCTGGATAGGGTTTGTGAGTCAGACTTGTGGCCTCAATCCCCTGACGACGCAGGCTGCCTGAAAAATTTCTAGGATTGGATCCTGCGCTGTCCCTTCTCTTTTTAACGTCCTTTAGCCTTGCCCCATACATGCAGGCTGTCTCTAATAATTTGGACTCTCATCTCTAAGTCCCATGGTCCATGGGCATTTTCTGTTGCCCTTGGGTAGTTTCAGACAATTTCGGCACCAAATAACTTCTCTTACTCTATCTGTGCACCTTGGTTGGGGGCAGTTTACTGCCCAGCCAGGTAACTGCCTATTTAGCCAATATCTTTCTTTAATATTAGGTCCATTACTATATATAT